GCGTCTTTACCAGACCATTACTTACTTGTACACTTCCAACTGCTTAAAATATTATGCACCATTTTGCAAAGTGTTAACAGTTTATCTTAGTTAAACTTGCAACACATGCCTTTAAATATTAGATGTTTACTTTATATATTTCAAGAATGAGTAGCTTTGTCCTTAAACAAGGCAGGGTAAACTACTGTGCATTAAAAATGACTGAAACACTTTGATTTGTATGGGAAATAGGTGCTTGGTACCTTAACGGGTGACTATATTTCCTTGCAAACCTGTGGAAGAAAAGAAGGGACCACCACTAGAGGCAGTGATGTCAGTATTTCAACCTCGTTAATTCTCTCTCTCTCTCACTCTCTTCCTTTCACTCGCTCTTGCCTGGCATGTTGTGTGAAGGCAGGAAGGAGAGGGATTCACCGGTGGCTCATTAAAAGCCATTAGGGAGCAGCACACAGACAGGATGCGGGCAGTGAATAGAGGAAAGCAGGGCAGGGCTGAGGACACTGTTACTCTCTCAACCACCACCCCCCTCCACTGCCTCCTCACACACACTCACACACTGTTATCTTCTCCTCACAGCACTTCCTATGGCCCCACACATATTCCAACAAGCTCCTGCTCTTAGCTCTGCCAACTCAGGTCTCACACCCCTCTGACCTGAGTCTGTGACGAACAGGCCAGGCGATAACACATTTTTCACTCCAATACACTCACTATCTCTTTGTCTGACACCTTATCTCTCGTTCGCTCGCTTTGTTTGTACATCTCTTTGCCCTTTCTCACCTCAGGTTCTCCGTCTCTTTTGATATTTTGCCATCTTTTTGGCACAATGCGTACAGTGATGGACCGGAAAAGCCTGGCGCACTGTCTGGGGCCTGTGTGTGACAGAGTTATTTAAAACATTTAAAAAAGAGGTCTGTCAGGTTGGCCCTGTGGCGTCAAACAGAAGCTCCACCTGAATGTGACCTGGGCCTGGGAGGGTAGTGGCAGGCATTATCAGTAGCACTGATTGGGAGGGATGAATAAATCTCTGAAATGTGTGATACTTCTGTGATTTTCCACTAACCTTGTTTAGACAACTATAGGGTTTTCTACTACTATTTAATATGCAGCAACAAATCGAACAGCTGTAAAATCCCAACTTTTATCTCTGAGGACCTGATAACCTTTTTAAATCTCATCACCTCCTCATTGTACACACCACAGAAGTGGTGATGTCAGGAATTTCAACAGACCAATCAGAATTGGTCACTATAAAAATCTAAATCTGAAGAACGATTGTTGGGCTGTTTATGGGTGTTGTAACAAAAATGCCACTGCAAATCAAATCTGGTCAAAAGACACCCACATAGGACTTAAAAGATTAGGTGTGTTTTTGAGTGCTGAGCATGCTTTTTTTTTTTTTTTACTTTAAAGTAACTCCAAAATATGTTTTGCTTATTGTTACTTCACTTGGATGTCCACAGGTGCAGAATGATCTATGTGTAGAGTCTGATACTAGAGGCCTGTTTTCACATTCATCTGTTAAAAGAGGCAAAGTTTCCCTGTGCTCATCTTAAATCTGAGTTAAACATGTGTACATATGATCAGGATTTTGTGACATTTTGAAAGCCAAAAGTTGTCCAGTACGTAGTAGCTTATACAACCTTTACAATACACAAGTGATGTGGACACTTGAAACCTCCTTTGCACATGGACGCACCACTGAGAATGGACTTTTTGCAGTGAAGCAGGAGACATATTGTGTCCAGCAGTGAAAGTATGTAAACAAAAAATATTTAAATATTTATCTGTCATTTTCAATGAGGAGCAGTAGATGTGGTTTAAAGAATGTTTAACTAGTTAAATAAAATCTTTCTGTGGAAAAAACTGGTTATTATTAAAAGTAGAGTATTTATATGTCATAAAACATGTTTGGAGGGGATACATTTCTACCTTGATTTCAAGGTGCACAATGCACGGTGCAAAGTGATTTGGTGAAAATAGGACGGCACACCTCTCTGGGCTGTGTTCCCTCTTTGCAAACCACACACTTAACTAATTCCCACACCCCTGAGCTTTTCTCAAGCTGGGTCCTTACCCAGGAAAGTGTCAGTATATCAGACAAACCTAACAAATCAAACTGAAGTTAATGTCAGTCAGTTTCAAAACATAAACAGCGATCTCCGGCAGAAACATGATGTTCTGCAGGTGCTATAGTGCAATCAACGAATGTGTCTTTAATGTGTTACCCCAGGAGAACACGTGGACTAATCACCATGTTACTTTAATAATGAAACACCCTCTATTGTCTTCACTCTTTCTTTGTCAACCACATTATTGCACTGACTCACTGACATGCTGTAGAACACAACCCCTACTTCCAGTAATTAGAAACTCTGAGGGCTCTAAGTCACTTGACACCATTGACCCTGTTAGTATTTGGAATCTCTTGTGTTACACTTCACTCCAACATTGAGTTAAGAGTCACACTGGCACTGTTTAGACAAAAAAAGCTGGCTGTGGTTAGTAGTGGAATGACTGAATTGTTCCTTGCCAAAGACAAATATAAATATAGCAGAGTCATTATCTGCGGCAGTTAACCAGGATCATTTTTCTGTCCTGCTTGCACGTGCTGCTTCCAGGTGTTGCCATAGCGAGTAATCCTGTTTTCTCAACTGTGCTGCTCTTGCTGACAGAAGTTCCACATTGGAGTTTGCAGGGTTTAGGAAAATCAAATGGAGGGCAATCACTGTGTTTTGACAAGCCAAACTCTGCAAGCCTCAATGGTTTTTTGGTGCTGATTGCTCAGACACAGAATGTAAGAGCTTATCTTGTGTTCATACATACTGTAGGTCAGGTGTATAAGGTGTAATATATAGTTTTGTCCAGTCCATAAAATATGGGATGTTAATAGCTGTGATGGTAAAATAACACAATATTTTAATCCAACCCTAATTTTTAATCCAAATCCAACCACATTCTTGTTCCATTGCCTACTTCTAACACGGTAAAGGGTACAGGTTAGGCTACACACCACACCCAGCTACTGGTACAAGGATCCAAAACTCAGGGATACTTCAGGAGTTCAGATTCTGCCTTTTAGTCTTTCAGTTGATGGAAACACAGACTGAACAAAACAATGGTCTCATACTCACGAACAAATGTGGCAGAAAATTATTATTATTATTACATTTCAGATTGGTTATTACAAAATTCCTTGGTAAAATTACAATGAATAATATGAACCTGCACTGTAAGCATGTGGACATGAGCTGCAGCGGTTTACCAGATGCAATAAAAATCTTGTGAATTGGATGACAACATCAGGACTTCAGCATGGAGAGACAATAAAGACACCATCCAGACAGCATTTCTCACCACCGTTACCACAATCATCTCAATATGTGATAAGTTTGTCTCCTGTCATTGTCTCATTTCCTGTTCTTAAAATAAGAGACCATGTTTCCTTTTATCCACTACTTATAAGGCAGCCGCTTACAAACGACTGGACGTGGATACTCATTCCAAAGCTATTTGTCAAATGACTAAATCAATGCAATATGTTGCCTCGTTGGTCTGCTTTCAATGTTTAGTGGTCTGGGAAATGTTGTCACATGCTCAGAAAACATTCCTAGCTACTACTGTATCAGCCCTCACTGGCACAAAAACATAGAGTCGTGCTAACTGTCCTTTATTGATGGGCAGTGAGGCCGGTTTTACTTAATGCGTTGCCTTTTCATCTTCCGTGCCGATGATGGCCTGACTGCCCAAAATCCCCCTCCAGGGGAATACTTCAATCTGTTTGTGGTTTGCAGCTGGATGCAGGTGATGGAGCTCCGCCTGTAGCCTGGGAGACAGCTGTGTGAGTGGGACGGGAGTACATATGAGGCCAACAAGCCCGTAAGGAAACCCTGTAAGGAAAGTGAATGGTTTTTAAATCTTAAGAGTGGTAATTAACAGGAAACAGTCAGCTTTTGTTTGCAATCTGTGTACAGTGCACTGTGCACAAGAAGACCATGAGATAAAATGGCAACTCAAAATGAGCTCAACAGGTAGTGACCGCAAAAAAAATCAAGATACTTGCATTATGAACAGTCACACACAATAGCTGGATGGTCAACCAAATAATTAAAACTTCTGCACACATTTAAAAACACATTTAAATGAATACAAATCTAGAAAGTTTAGACAACAAATTGCCACAAGGTCCTCAATTAAGCAAAACACACTGTAGATTGTCCGTAACGTGTTTCCTGAGATGCTTTGATTCGGTCTGTTAATTTGGAAGGAAATCCATTTGCTAATTGATTGGTGCATATTTTGAAACAAAGCTGCTGATTGGTTTACTCATGGCCTGATTGCTATTTATGTTACAGTTTCAATGGCTTCCTGTTGGGCTATAAAGTCATGCAAAACAGGGGTTTGCTCTCCAAACACTCGTTTACGGGGATTTGATCAGGATCAAGCCAATTTTACTGCTGCCCTCTAGAGAGTCAATCACATTATTTATCTCAAGGAAGTCTAGTCACTCAACATTATAACTTTAATGCTGGTATTTTCCAGGAAAGATGAATATTTTACACCAAGTTCGTACAGGGTGAATGAGATGAACTTCTAATATAATAAAGCTTTGTGCCTTTTTTTTTAAAAAATGATGAAACCTCAAAAATGTTTAACAAAAGGGTCCCAACAGAAATGAAGCTATTCTAACCCAATCCCTGAGCAGTACTCAGCACACTCTGCAAGTCCATCCTCAGATCAGGTCCTAACATGCTCCTTAACAGACAGACAGGTGGCAGCAGAGAGCCATGAGGCCACAGCAGCTGATGCCCCAGGGTCCACTGCAACACAATTAAAATGTATGTGTCTTTTATTCCATGCCAGCTCCATCTCGGGAGTCCAGATTTCAGAGGATAACAAAACCACTGCAGCAAAAGCAGTGGTGACACATAAAGAAAAAGAAATGCAGGAGGACACCGGGATGAGGTGACGGGATGCAGGCCTGGGATAATACGGTAGAGCATGTTTTATATCATTTCTACTTTGCAAAAGTCTCCTGCACTTTGTGGAAAGGGAATACAGGCAAGGTATGAATATTACACATGAAAAAAGGACAAAAAATGGGTAAGATTGGAGTTGAGAGGAAAAGGGAATTATAAAGAAAGACAGAATTTTGGTAATAATTTCTTGCTTGTTGAACCAACTGCCTATAAATCATCCCTGTTCTCTCTCTGTGTCTCGCCCACACTGGGGACACAGCAAATGTTTTGTCAAGATTCTTGTGTGGTGTCAGCATTTTGGCACAGGGGAGTGATTTAAGGGGGCATGGCGTGCTTGTCATGCCCCCACGCCTGACTGTTCCAGTCTGCCCTCAGAGTGTGTGCAAACAAATAAAGCGCCGGGGCCTTTTTAATTAGCTCCAGGGCAGAGATTGACAGCTTGTAGTGGTAGAGATAGCACAGTAACCAGCTATTACTCTAAATATTTGGTACGTTGCACAGTTGAAACCATAAGCGTGGGATCTCTGGAGGCACATTAGTGGGTGGAAAATTGAAAACAAGTCACAGTGTACTTGTTGTTAATGTGTATTGTAGGTTAACAATTTAACAAAATCTATACTGCAAATATTTTGTGTTATTCCTTTTATTATTGGGAGTTTTTGTTTTTTCCAACATGTGAAAGAGGGTTTTTGCAGTGGCATTATTGTAGAAAAAAATATAATTTATGATAAGAAGAAGTAGAAGAAGAAATATTTTTGTGAGAGGTTTTTTTGAAGGCATCACTTTTCTTATTTCCAATTTATAAATGCTTTATTGTGTCACAGAGCATCGACACTGCTCGCCCACACAAGGACACCTTGAAACAATGTTGATGTTGACCTTAGGGATATAAAGGTCAGCCTAAATCACTAAGCTACAACTGGAGAGGGACAGAGCTCAACGGGGGCGTCTAATGTCTGTGTGACTGAGCTGTACATCAAAAATAAGGATTGGAAAAATATATACATTAAAGGTTATTCTCCCTGTTCTAAACTTACTGTTTTAAATGTGTACTTTAGATTTTTTTGTTTAATCACCACTCTTCATACTAATATAAATTGTTGATGATTTCAACCTTCAATCTTTATTTAACCATTAGAAATTAAAAAGTGAAATAGATTAATAGTAAATAATGATCAAACCGTATGAAAACAACATAATCCATGAAAATGAATAAATTGTTTACACTTTTGAGACAGAAATCACAGACTGACACTATAATTTCATTGTTGAACAAATTTAAGCTTTTGATCTTAAATTCACTCCCAATAATTGTTGTTGTCATTGAATCAGTGTAATCCCTGGGTAATGCATGTCTTCATAGGTTCTTAGAGGTTTATTGCGCTGACGGTTTTGGCACGGCATCAGAGGCGAGCCGGGGCAGATGAAGAATAGAAATTCCATGACATGTGCTAGATATCAAATTTCAGTTCTATGGAAATCCAGCAAACCTCTGCGCGAACAACACATTACTCTCTCCAATTATTGCCGTTGCTTCGTATCAGTAACAATATTTCGTACCCAAATGTAACACCATGGGACCGTACAATCTGTTATAAGAAAGCAGTCATCATTCACAGCCTGCTGATGTTGTGTTACCGGACAAGTAACGACATGTTGCTTCCTGATCTTTCCTCATGCTACATCATTTGCATCTTTTATTGACAGTGTCATTTTACATTTTTTCTAGAAGGGCTGAATATGGGTTGGTGATACAATAAAGTGATAACATGTTGATTTAACTATTCGCCCACATTTCAAATATCAGCTTTCAATAGCACGGTTGTTCTTCACGTACCCTGATCATGACCCTAGATTTTTTTTTTTGTTCAGGGCCATGAAAGTCATTATTTACTGTGCAACTGTGTGAGGGCATATCTGACGCTGATGGGGCTTGTGTTTATTTAATGCAGACTAAATGACGGGGTTCGGGCCTACAGCTTCCTCTGCTCTTAAAATGTAATTATAGGGGGATTCCTTTCCTGCACAGGCGTTTGACAACTCTGTTGAACTTTTCATGATACGCTGATTCACGATGCGTTGTAAATACCTACCTAGTTTAACCTAATCTTTAACATTGTTCCTGGTATAAATTATTAACCATTTTTTCCTTTTGTTTCTGACATTTTAATGTCATATTTTGTGCAGGTTATCATATAGAACCAAAGCAAATATATATTGCCATTTATAAATAGCCAATAATAAATTGATAAAGTGAAACTATATAAATTATATGATATGAAAATGTTTTGTAAAATCAAATTACTAATTGAAGGTTGAAGCCAACAAACTGAAGGAGAAACAGACTTCCCAGCATGCACTGCATTTGTTCCTGGTGAAATTATTAGCTATTTCTTCCTTTTGTTTCTTAAGTTTTAACGTCATGTTTTACCAAGGTTATTATCATATAAAACCTGAGCAAATACTAATTTTTAAACAGCCAATAAACGGATACTAATAAAGTGAATATATTTTGTAAAATCAAATTACAAAGTGAAGGTTTAAGCCCACAAACTAAAAACAACTGAAGGAGAGACACTGTAGACTTCCCAGCATGCACTGCATTTGTGACCCCACAGAAACCTTTTTATAATTTTTGCCTGAAGAGTTACAGGATGTACTGTATATGAAATCAGTCTGTGATGGGAAATAACGAATATTATTATAACCATGACGTAGCTGGGGGTTAGTTTACTGTACAAGAACAATTAAAACGAATTTCCTCCTCCATAATAGACAATAAAAGACTATATAATACTGGAAAGTGGTTGAACTGTGCGCATTCTACCAAAAACACCTCCCACAGTGAACAAATATATTATTGTATTACATAAATTTCTCTCATTTCTCTCTTTCTTTGGATAATTGAGATATTTGAATGTAACACCATCGTGGCCTAATCCAGAAAACGTGTAGTTTCTAAAAAAAACATCTATTTTTATTTCTTTGTCTTTTTGTTATTTCTTTATTTTTTTTTAATTCTAAATTACGTTTAAGTTCTTTCCCCTTCATTTTGTTTTGTAATTGTAAACCTCAGTGTCAGTAAGAAATATGGATTAGACGCATTTAGCGAGGCTCTCTCTCTCCATTAGGATCAGACCTGAATGTTGAACGTGTGTGTGGATATTTTAGGGACCTGCTGCAGCTGACCCAGCGGAGTTCATCCTGTCAGGATTTTATTCGATCTATAATCGATCCCCCCGGGGATAGATACAGTATCTGTCTATAATGGATTCATCTCACCTCGCAGCTGCCACCTCATCATCAAGCATCGAAGGGTGCATGTTTTGCAAGGCCTCAGGAACAAAAGGTCTTTAAAAGAAACTCACAATTCAATTTCTTACTGGGGAAAATATGACAACACGCATCAACATGCATAAAATCAAATGCGGTGAATCGGGGTACAAGTTATTTAGATTAACTAATAACAAGAGTACACTATAAGGAAAAAGTAAACCAATCATTATTTCATCAATCAAAATAAAATCATCAAAAAATATTAATATGATGTTTTGTGACGTTATGTGGAGACGTCAGTTGCTGATTTGAACCTTTGTGAAATTTCGACCAATTAACTATCAGTCAGAAAAATAAAACGAACCAAGCAGAGAGTTCAAACGTTATTCAGATGGCTGAAACATAAATAACGATTCGGTTTTCCTCTTACAATTCCCCCAGAGTTAGAAAATTCGACTGAAATATTTTCTAGGATATTTCTATTTCCATTAAAACAAATAGAAATATTCTGACGTCTTGTGCATTAATTATAAAATATTTTTATAAAACAGAAATAGTTAGGATTTTTTTTCACAATGTGGGATTTATTAAAGTTGTTAAAGAAAATGATGTTGGTTTGAAGAGTCTTTGTCCTGTGTTTGTGGTGGATGATAATGTAATGGTTGTATGTAAAGAGCTGGAAAAGGGCTAGAAAATTATTTGTTATGTTTTTTAGAATATAGTATATTAGCAACCCATCTGCTACATAAAAGAATAAAATAAACATTTGATATCAATAGAAACAGGCTACTGAGCAAAATCAGAGAGAACATTTTGTACCCAGAAACCTAGAAAAGTTTCAAAAACAGCTTGCAGTTTCAGAAATAAAACATCTCTCAGCTAGTGCAAGTATGTGATATTTCTGCTTTCAGTGAGTTTATTTAGTCTGCTGTTCATCCTCAAAGTTTCCTTACTTGTTCTGCAACGCATGGCTGAGGAAGTAAAACACACCACAGGAAAAGAAAAAAAAAATCTTCTCATTCAATTAATTCTTTTCTGCTCATTGTCAGCCGATTCCCACACGAAAGAAACCCACACAAAGCAGCGACGATACATGTTTATCATATATAAATATAAATCACAGACAATATAAAAGTAATTGTATTCAGTGATGATTTAGATAGTAATATAAATGTTACAGTATTATTGTGTATGGGCACAGCAGGAATTTGAAAACTAGGTTTGAATTAAGTTTGGGAACTAAATGTAACCTGAAACAATGACAAGTTGAAATTTGTAAATTTATGAGAAGAATTATTTAATATTTCTATAAAAACGATGTTATCTTGATATGCTGGAGAATGTTTGAATTGTCCTATAAGTATATTAATCTGACTGTCCTCTTACAAAAAAAGGACTGTTCAATTATTAACATTATGATGTTTTTTAATACCAGAAATGTCACTTTTTCAGTGGAAAAGAAGAGGTAAATAAAGGTAAATAAAACTTTTGACTTCATCCTACCATTTGCTTGTGTGTACGCTTTGTGTGTATGTATATTAACCTGCATGTCGGTAAGAATCAGAGGAACAGAGAAGTCGGACTGCATGTTGACGAGTTTGAATTTATGAGTGTGTAATGAAGCATCTCTGACGCAGACAGACTAAACAGAGACTGTGTCAGCCTCACACACACACACACACACACACACACACACACACACACACGTCTTCAGGTCTGTCCTGTTCCGGCCTCGAGAAGACTTCATGTCAGTGTCCAAAGGAAAAATAATAAAAAGGCAAACTCATGTAGAAGTCAGATAAATAATAACAGACAAAGCAAAAGTCAGGTGAATTTTATTTATATAGCACATGACAACATTTATCCTAGGTAAGAATGAGGGAAAATGTCCACCAAAAATAAAATCTTTATTCAGTAAAAAACATGGAAGACACCTCTAAGGAGAGATCCCTCTTCCAGCATGAGCTTGTGATACATGTTGTGTACAGAATAGAACAAACAAGTAAAATTATGTGGACAATCAGACAAGTTTTGGTAGCTGGAGTGTAAAAATATATGAATAACATCAAAATTGTTGCCCATTACAATCTATGATTCAAGACATTGTTATAAAGGATACTTCAGGTTTCTTTCTCCTCTTGCACCTCAGCAAAGTATTTGCTCTGTTTCCTCCCTGCCCAGACAAAGGTGATGTTCAGTGTGACCAACCTAAGTATCGTCAGGAGTCAGGTGTCTTTGGGAACATGCACTGTGCTTGGTGATATGTGAGACAGGGCTTGGATGAGGCTCTTCACTCCCCCCCTCTTCAGCTCTTCACCCCCCCCTCTTCAGCTCTGTTTTGACTAACATGCCAGCTCTGTGACTACCAGTGAAGCGCCGACACCCCTGGAGTGGATTCTGAGCATACCAAGGAAGAGATGCCTTTGAAAGGACAGATGTTCCTGGCCTTAACCTGCCTCCTACCCAAACCACTACCCTCCTTCCATTGTATATTTGTTCTTGCTCTATAAATAACTGGCCGGTAACTCACAGAAAAATTTAACTGATGTGCAGCTGACCTCCAGGCCTCTAATCTTTGAGAGTGAAAGGGACTTTGAAAAAGAGGACACTCGGGAGAAAAGTTGGTTGATACAGTCATGGTAAATGGATTTGGGCAAGGGGACCCAGTGAACACACCCATTTTTGTCCACATAAGGACTAGTTTTGATGTCTGGACTGGCTCAACTGCCTTATGCAACAGCAGTGTGTAGTCCTGGCAGATGAGGCGTGATGGGCTTGAGCCAGTTTAGCCACATTATCCAAAAATATACTGGCCATATTCACAGGGGAGTATACACTTATTTAATGTCCTTCTTAAAATTTCACAATTCAAAATGAGAGTTTGCTTGCCAGAAATTATGTATAATATCCAGGCTTTCACATGCCAACATCTTGCAAAATCTTAATATCTTATTTTAAATTTCCAAACTTAAAAAAAAAAAAAAAAAGAAAATCATGTGGGGAAAATTACATCTTGTAACATTTAAAGTATCTACAATTTTCATATCACTTTTTTAAAACAGCTTTTTCAACATTTGTGAGAGTGTTTGCCCTCTTGCTGTGGCTGCGGGGATGAATGGGTGATTGTTCGAGGGCCCTTGTGACGACTCCCTTGGGGCCCATCAATTCACAGAGGCTCCTGGAACATCAGGTCATGGCTAACCCTGGCTCTGAAGCTGCAGCCTGGCCTCACTGCGCTGACTTTGCCACAGTTAGAGCTCAGGACCTCCAGGGTGCACAGCTGGGTCCCTTAAAAAAAGCCCCAGCTGAATGGTTTTAGAAACACTGCATCTCCTCTTACCCTGCACTCTCTCCCCGCTCGCTCTCAATCTAGCACAACACAGATATCAGATACTGTGTTTTTTATTTGATATGTTCATCTTTGCTTGCCAAAGCCCCTGGAAACCGTATTAAAGTCTACGTTCCATATTTTTAACCAAAAGGCCTCTTCAGTTGAAGAATTTGTCCAAAATTTCCATTATCCCCTCTCTCATTCTCTTTCCTCTTCTCTCTCTTTTCTCCACAGCTCTATGTTTCCCTGTCTCTTCCCCACATGCTCACACACATCTTAATTTTCCCTTTTTCCCCTCCAGCGCTGCTATCGTGTTGTATCAATTACAACTGACCACCAGTCAGGTGGGTCTGCGGGACATTTTTGATCACGGAGGGGCAGCCAGCTCGCTCAGCGCCTCCAGCCTGCTCCCAGACTCCAGTCCCAGGCCCCGCTGAGGCCTTGTCCCAGGCAGGGCAGAGAGACACCTGGCCAAACCACAGAAACACTTCCAGCTGCAGACTGCCTGATGCTCACCACTGAGAGAATCCAGGCCAAAGGTGGAGGAGCTCACCAAGAACTACTGCACTGCCATATACATTTCTCTGAATTTCATGTTTATTTTAATCTCGGTACTAAGCCTTTGTTCGTCTTTAAATTCCTAAAGTCATTTTAAACAAGCTTTTGTACTGTCAAAATGTTTACACTGTGTCACAATAAGTCCCCTTCTTCCTCAGAATGGAAAAACAGGGCAGCAAGACTGTTAAACTGTGCTCCTCAAAGTGAAAGTGGGAGAGCACAAGGGGTGAAAAAAAGGCAGAGAGAACAACAGCTCCCTTTTCTCTCCGACCAGTTGACATGAAAGACCACATTATGTCTGAGATTAGAGGCAATTACACTGGGAGTGCGCTTTAAGACCTTTGTTTGCCAACATGACAGGAGGGAGCAGGGCTGTAATTTGATGAGGGGGCAGCGTGAGTGAGAAACTCTGCATGGCTGTCTCCCAGCGGAGAGAGTCAAAGAGAAGTCTTTGTCCGTAGCATGGACATGGCAGTTGGCAGAAATGTTAATGTTCAGAGGAAGATTAATTCAACTGGGATTCATTAATTAGAGTTCTCTTTATCCCCATTGCCATCGTCTACCGTTTATGGCTGAAAAGTGAGTTTAAAGAGACTTTACAGCCCCAAAGGAAACACTTTCATCTTTGCCTTTTGTTCCAGATGACAGTTCAAACACTGCTATCTATTGTTTCAGCATTTATATTAATTCAAATGGCACAATTGTGTTGGTTCATTCAAATGTCACAAATACTATAAACATATGATTCAGTCTCAACCTGCGGTCAAACAAAAGCACCAGATCTTCAAGACGTGACACCTCCTCTATTCTGGCCGGGCGCATTGTTCGAACATGCTGCAAGTTTTCAGGACAGGAAACGAGCAGCTTGTTCCAGCCCGACCGGCAGAATGGAGCACGTCTTTATTTGAGGGAAGTCATTCCGTTGATATATAAAACACCAAAGCAAAGTTTCCTTCCCCCTCACTTTCCTGGTGCTATCCCCTTCAAAAGGACACGGCCCTTTATACTAGGCTCACATGCACACACGGGACCAGAAGAAAAACAAACAGAGGCAATTTAAATATCAACCAACCTGCCTTCTGTTTGAATGGAGTAGCTACTGCACAGCTCGGCCCAGGCTCGTCCAGCATGCTGGTGTTACGTGCTCAGCCCTTTTAACCATGGATGTGGACCCAAACTGGGGAATAACAGCAAAACCAAGCACTGTGGTGGTCATTTCTGCAGGTATACTGTGATGTTAAATATACTATTTATATGCAGTATAAATAAAGAGAAAACCATGCCCAAATGTTGCCTCTTCACTCCTGACCAAAATGCGTCTAACAACTGTCAAGTGTCAAAAGTTTGCACTGAATGCTTGGTCAAATTTGTTATTCTTCTTTACTTACTTTTTAATTCAATATTTCCTGATTTTCCTACAGCAAAGTTTGTGTTAAGGCAAAAAACATCGACACATTGGACAATGTAGCTCATTTTGTTAAATAAAAAAAAGTATTTTTTTCTTTATATTCCTTGATTGATCAAAAAAGTATTGTTCATACTTCAAGGTGCAATTTACTGTCGTCCTCTCTATGTACATTACTCAGTATATGCTACCGTGTACACAATAGGAACAAATGCAATAAAAACTAGAATATAATAACAAAAGCAATGAAGTAAATAATAAAGTAATAGTGTTAAGCAATCATTGTTTAATACAGTGCCTGAATTGGACCAAAAAAGGTTCCAGTAGTACCCTAATTCAGCACAACCCTAAACACAACATATCCTTAACCCTAATTTTTTTGCAATTTATAATCCATGTTGACAAGGACATTTTCAGTGCTGTTTTCTTAGCATTAAACTAGCTATGTGTTTACATAGAGACGCAGTTATACAGTTACGCAGATACGCAGATACACATTCCTGTACGCAGAAATACAGAGGTCCAAAAACTGAACTTGCTAGGGGGGTTTGGGGGCATGCATTAAGTTATTTTTAGGCTATTATTTCATGACTTTTCTGGATAGCCCTTGGAAAAAACGCAAAGGCTCATACCTTTGTGACCTCAGTTGTGGGTTTGACCATGGTCACCAGAGGTGGCAGTTCCCAGTGCAATTAATGATACATACATATAAGGATTGTGTCTCGTTTTCATTAAAATCAGTAAAATGTTTAATGAATACATATTTTATAAATAAAAAATAACAATAATGGCCGCATCAGGAAGAAAAAATATATAAAAATGGCAGCAGAAATAGTGACAGTAAGTTCCATTGTTTTAGCTGTACAGTAATTAAGGTCTTATACTGGCATTAAACATTATTGGTAGCAAAACATTTTAAACAATACCCAGTCCTACTTTTCACCCTTTGCTGTCTTGTTCTCCTTTGCCAAATTCTCCCGTAAGGGTGTGTGAAAGGAGGAAGAGGACCACCTATTAAAGTGAAATTTTAGGAGTGATGGATGGGAGCTTGTTGAGGGGGAGCAGACCAGCATACACCCCAGGGGAGGGGGATGATGAACAAGTGGGGGTGGGCAGGGGAGAGTTCACTAAATCCCCACTCACACCTCTCGCTGTGGGTGGAAGGGATGCAGACCTCCCATGCTGTCTGACTTAGAAATTTGATTGATTAAATCCTCTGAAGCATTTTAAACTTTTGCCTGTTTTTCCTCAAATCTTTTACTTTCATCTACATTGTTTGATTTGAAGAATATGTACAACCAAGAGATAGTTAATGTGTATGAATTACATTTAATTACTTTACTGCTGAGGGCTCCAGTGTACAGCAGTAGCAATTTTATGTTTTTCTAAATACTTCATAGATGAAAGCAAGCAATATTTCAAGCGATGTAGTGCTGAACAGATTAGTCAAGACTCCCCTGATGCTTCTGAAAGCCATTCCTAAACTTATATCCCAATATGTAGCCTTGTTATGTTTTTGCCTTATCTCAAGTTACCTCATATTTTCACAAACTTGAAACATCCTGACATTGATAGTGAAGTCATGAAGAGCTTTAAATGGCCATGTTTACATAATAGCTATGGCTTTACTGTAGTCTGATATCTTATGTGGGTTAAAACTGCACAGGTTTAAAATTGCACTCCTATAACACTGTGTGGCTCATGATAGACGGTCAAAAAGATGCAGCAGAACCTTTAATTTAATGTTTTATCAGAAACATGGCACCTTCATACCCACAATGCAACTTGACCGTTGACAGTTCGGTTGGAGATTCAGGTGTGTTACGCTAGTAGTGGCTAATGTAGCTATGAACTGATAGGGTTAAGCGCGGGCGATGGAGGATAGGTAAGCTCACGTCTTTCTAACTCAGCCACAACTGACATATATAGTAGTTGACCCCAAGAACTGTCAACAGACTTTTTGTGTGTAAAATAAGCGCAGTTCCCCTTTAAGTTATTGTTGCTGTTCCCTGAAAACAGCCCTATTTTTAACATTATGACTGTACATTTTTTAACCAACAGGGTTTTAAATGGTTTATAAATGGTTAATAAGTAGGTGTATTGTCTCAAAACTATAAAGGACACTAAAATGATTCAGATTAACAAAAATTAATAAATACATTACTCTGAAGATACATGGAGATAAAAGGTTTTCATTGGACAGTGATTATAAATGTGTGTCCCTGTTTTCACAAGTCAAAACAAAAATATCAAAAGATTTTTTTAAAAACATGTACAGTCTGATCTTAAAAATACATGTAAGCAGTTCAATCTGGATATAATGCTTTAGCTTGCACCTGGATTACCAAAGTAAATATACCATAAACAGACCTGAGCCAGTGTTGATAATATAATCCAAAAGATACACTGGGAGTAAGTAGAGATGACAAATAAGAAAACTGCATGTGCTCAAGAAAATACATTACGAGCCAAATCATCTAACAAATAAAATGCTAATATGTTGAAGTCAACTTCCTGTGAGTAAATTTGAATCCTGCAGTCACATTTTAGGACAATAAAATCATGAAGAGGCAAATGGAGAAGCTGCAGCACTTGTGGTTTAACGCCTGGTGTGTGGAGGAATTACTGCTGTAGTAGTTTGCCTTTAACTGTCAGGAAATGACCCATAATCTGCAAGCGTTTGACTGCTGCAGCATTCCTGTGAAATGACACAAGTTGAGGTAGATTAGGGGTTGGGTAATTAGCTCATTAGTCAACATAAACACATGGCATGGCTCCCCCATTTCTACACACCCTGCCCCCCTCTCACCGCCCACAGCTGGTGGCGAAAGTAGGTTCTCACAATGCGCACACACACACACACACACACACACACATGCACACATGCATACCTGCACGAACACAGACACACACACTGCACCCAGGCCACTTCATCATTAATCCAGTTCCTTTCTTCTGGCCTTTTTTTTTCTTCTTGCAGTTTTCCAAGCTTTTTTCTGGCCTCATCATCTCTTCTGTTCTGCTTTGCTCCAGACAAGCCACTCTTTCATACTGTAGCCCTGGGGGCTGAGGGCTAGCCACTTTTCACCAGCACCTCGCAGCTTATCAGAGCACTTTATCAGCCTGAGGGGAAAAGATGTGGGTTAAAGCTCTTCACTCTTGTGCTCTGCAGCTCAGAGAACCAGCAGGCTGTCAGCAAACAAGTATTTGTAAGCCGGGGCTCAGAAACTTGCGCCTTCTGACAAAGAGAAAAGCTACAGGGGTCATGTGTTTCTGTGTGTGTGTGTGTGTGTGTGTGTGTGTGTGTATGTGTGTGCTTGAAAAACACAGGACATCCTTTATGCAGCAAAGTAAGCTGGTCCCCACACAGCCTCTCTTGTTGCTCAGGGGACAGATGCTGAACACTGGAACCTGGACAGCCCTTCACACCTCCTAAATGCAGCAGGAGGCCTTAGCTTTCTCCTCCACTTAATTTTTCGGACTCTATGTTCACCCCCGCCTCTCCCTCTTCAGCACACCCCTGGAGTATATCAGTATAATGCTCTCTTTCATCAACGCATCACAGAACATATGAAATATTTTGCAAACTTTATCAAGGAGGTGTTGAAAACGGAAACATTCCTGAGTTTCAATTCCGCCACGTTGATAAAAAACCTGCAGAGAGAATCTCGCCTTTGAGTTTCAACACATTGGAGCACCGTTTTAGCACCTTGAGTTTTGGTCATAGGCAACATTTAATTTCAGAACAAGACTGGGTGTGTTTGCCTCAATGCCATTGGAAACAGAGGCCCTGTTTGATGGTGTTTAGTGATTGATATGAATGACCATTTGTGCGGCTTTTCACTGTACAGAGCTTGTTGCGAGCCAGGCAACTCGGGGAGTTGTGCGCCTTGGTCATGTGATGCTTTACAGGGCGGAGATTGAACAGGCTGAGAGAGAAAGAGGGGAAAAGAAGAGAGAGAGAAAATAAAATGCAAGACACCAATCAACTGGGGTTTGCTACTGTCAATCTGGTAAATTGGAGGCTGTGTTTAGATACAACCACTTAATCGGCAGATAACACGACTGATGGATCCATCCATCATTGCCTGGAGAGACAGTACTCACACATCCTTTTCTGGGTAATTTAAAGAGGAAAAACACACTCAGCCCTCCCCTCAGTTTAGCTACATCCTTTAAGTTGTAGTGCATAACAGTTTGAACGATTAGTTTTTGGATGGGTTAGACTGTGTGGGCGTGCGTGTGTGTCTGTGTGTACCTGACAGATTGTGCAAGTACAAATTTTGCTTCAGGTGCAACAAAGGCACGTTGGTTTCCAAAAATTACAGTCATGGGTGGAGCGTGAACGTGCGGAGGCCTAGTTAATTCCTTGCATGTATCATTACGAAATAAAAGAAGTGGATAGCAACCCTGTCTATCAAAATATTGATGTGAATACTGCTATTTACTGCCTTTATGGTTTTATCAGCTACTATCTTTGTTATATTGTTATGTTGTTAAGTTTGCGTTTTATTTAAAAACATCTGGAATCTGTCTATCCATTGATTAAAGGGCTGATGTGGGGCCGTCGCACAGTATCTAATTTGTGTTTGTAGACCATAAAACATATTTTTAAAAACAGAATTACTATTATTTCAGTGATTTACAGGCATATAAACTTTCAATGAAAAGACACATATATAAGTTGGATCCCTTTACATGTATTTGGGCTGTATTGCAGTTTTATTACTCATATTCTGAAACTAGGAATTGTTCTATAATAATATTTTGATTGATTATCAATAAATATTTGTACATTTTTATGAGCACCTGTGTGTAGATTTGGGTTTCTAGAAGCTTTATACTTTGATAAAATAGCAAAACAATAGGTCATACTTATAACTGAGTTTGTGCCGAGGAAAAGGATATCAAGCATGTGGGGTACGGACAGTTTAAAAGGTGATGAACAAAGGTAAAAAGTAAGTTAAATTAAAAATTAACCTGGACCTACTACAGCACTGTGTGATAAAGACTTAAAATTCTCTCATTCGTATGGAACACTCCAGTGTGAAGAGAACAGTTGTAATAAATGACTTATCCTGATGTGGCTTATAACTTTCATGTCATTTCAACATCATCAATACTGATATTAATAGCAGGAGAAAGAACAACAAACTGCCTGCGAGGGACGCTATCACTGACAATGATTGGTGAGGGAAAAGTGCCACACCTTGCTCCTTGGCAGCGGGCCATGGCCTTATCAGGCTTGATGAATTACACTGACACCCAAGCTATCTTAATGACTCAGTCTATCTACCCATCTCCCCTCTCCTTCCTCTCCCTTTCCCCAGCCCTTGGCCTTGCTCCTGCAACCTCCCACTGTTCAAATATCCAGACCTGATTTGTGTGTGTGTGTTGTACTAATGGGAGTTGCTTTATTACTGAGCCACCTTACAATTTGCAGTGAAGTGTGATTTAAGAGCATATGAAGTTATCTTTTATTGACAGCTGGTGTCAGCAGCGGTTGATGACTCAAAGGCTACATCATGTTGTCTGAGAAACAAATATGATACAAATAAAAACACACCTGTGATAACTTGTTAAATTATGAACTATAATAAGCTATTATGGGAGCAGACGTATGAAACATTGCCGTCTATTTTAAGAACATTAATTAGCTTTAGCACCTTTTTTCCCTCTATGACTAATCGTCACATTTCTGCGGTTTGTTACTGTGTCTGACGCATGTTGAAATTAGGTGTGTTGCCACTACAGAAGGTTAAATAGACGCTGCAGAGTGAGTAAGTATCTCGTTGTCTGACCTGATCCTTGGTGGTGAGCAGTTGGCATCCTGGAGTCTCATTTCCTGGTTTTTAAGAGGGCATCCTTCCTTCTTTGACTCCAACTTCCTCTGCTCTGTAACACCCATTGTGCAAAAGCATTGCTTCACGGGTTCTCCAAGCATATATTAGTAGGTGCTTCAAGTGGCCCTTGGACTTAGGCTTTAATTTGCTCAGGACAAATGGCTGCTAACTGCAGCCGCCACCTGTCCTGAGACATGACACTGTGAGGGGGAAAACGTCAGGCTAAGAGCTATCATTGACCATGGCTTTAAAGGACAAATCTCAAATTTAGTCATCAGTCAGTGAGACTTGTGTCCTTGTTGGGCTGGTTTGTTGATGTTATCTTCCAAATAGAGCCAAATGGATCATGACTTACTGATAGAAGATCAAGACTGTTCATGTTGCTGTTTTAGTGAATGCAAATATTATTTTATTGATTGTCACAAGGCTAAACTTGTTGTTTTAGGAAAATCATTAGATAACAGGAACAACTTTGTGTGTGGGAGTAATGTCACATTGTTTTTGCACCAAATGTGGCAAAAAGTGGAAAGTATACAGTAAGGAAATGTATGGAACTTCATGGAACTTCGTGGGCAGGATCAGCACACAGGCCTATATTTTGACCCACTATCAGTAGAGAAACACAAACATTTATGTGATTGTAACTCATATTTATATGGTCCAAAATGTTTGATTGGGATCCACATTAGGACTCATTGCTAGCTTAACTTAACATGGATATTTTTACAGTGTACAGTCAAATTGCTTATCTAATAACAGCCTCCTCACTGTCATTAGCTGAAACCAAGACGAATGTTTGAGACGGTTAAGAGGGGGCAGGCTGGGAACTTTATCCCACTGTTCTAATATTTCTACCACAGTTGAACCTCAGCCCCAGTCTACCATTGGCTGTCTCACATGAACACCAATTAGGCGTGATACAGGACAGAAATAAAGGCCGATGCACTTTGCTACGAGGAGCATTTGTTTTTCCTTCTCTCTCAACGTCAGAGCGGGTAACCGGTGTGCGGTCCAAGTATTCTGGTCGTAATAGTAGCTCAGCGTTCCGGGAACTCCGGGATAAAAAGTGAAAAAACAAGGCGGTGAGGTTTTCTGGGTAATAACTCCATCTTTCTGTATTGCAGTGCAAGAGGGAGGAGGAGCATTTCTCTCTCTCTCTCTCTCTCTCTCTCTCTCTCTCTCTCTCTCTCTCCTCTTTTTTTGAAAATATTTTTTTGTTCTGGCAGGTTCCATAGCCTCCTGTCCATGGAAAGCATACTCTGCACATTCTGCAGACAAGGGTCTTCAGGGAGGAAATAGAGAGGAAATTGTGCAGAAAGTGTAAAAAATCAGTCTCTCCTTCTCTCTTTCTCTGCCTCTCTGTGGCTCACTTCACACAAAGAAGGACTCCTTGTTTTCAGTTCACTTCTAATTACTTAAAAGTATCCCTCAAGGGGCAGGTTAAGGCAAGAAGTTTTGAAAACAACATATACTATTCATACACAAATCATTTTACATTAAATTGTTTAGAGGGTTTGTATTTCTAAAACATCCATTAATTTATGTTAAAATATACAGGTTTTTATTCAGTGTAAAATTGCATCAGGACTCACTGCCAAACTTCTGTTCTCTAACAAGATATACAATTAATACTCTCTGCTCTGGTGTTTACGAATTATCAGAATTTTAAATAAATACAAAGCAAATTCAGCGAGACTGGATCTCTGACCTTCTGGTAACTGGTAGAAAATTCTGTTGATTTTCTTTATAATCCCAGGATTTGCTAAGAATGTTGAGGACAAAATAATATGATGAAGAGGAACAGGAAACTTTTCATCCTCAACCCCACTAGACAGATATTGGAAGAGCTCATCTTGCACACCCTTGTCACTTTTACACTCCTACATTTTGCTTCAAGCAGGGCTGGGGGAGAGTGTTGGCATTTGTGCGTATGCGAATGGGTGTGTATTTCTGCATGTCAGTCAGTGTTTTGTTGCAGCAGAGTTGAGATTTAAGAGCTAAAATTGGCGAGTGGGGTGAGAGAAAGAGTTTAGTTTAGGGGCTGAGGTTTCAGATGAGGGGTTTGTAAATCTTCTCAGGGGAGCTCATTTGTGCCAGGTGGTCACACTTTTGGAGCTGGTAACTAACCTCTACCACATGCTGTCACCTGTATGTGAAGTTACGATGCGGTTTCATTGCGGCACCTCCCCCGGCATCCAATGGGTGGTGCTGTCTTTAAGAAAAAGAGACAGCAGTTGTCCAGGTAACATCCAGAACTTGGTAACAAACTAGCCCAGAAATTATTTGTATTATATTTTTTCACACTGTATATTGAATTCTAATCTATGCGTATTTTCTTATCCAAACACAATTAATGCATTTACAGGAAGAGAAATTATAAATTTGCCTTTTTTTGCAGTCAATGACGAATGGCGTCAAAACAGATGCATCTGCCAATCAGCCCAAAATGAATTTAAGTCTCTTCGTTTTCATGCCGTGCCAAACTAAAAATAGAACTATGTCCAAACAATCCCCTTGTAATCAAATACTGCTGATGGGATTTCAGAATAGGCTGTTCATTTTTTATCTGTCACATACAAGTGTGCCACAGTGCCACAGGCAAACATTTAAGGAAGGAAGAGTTGTCATTGTCTTTGTCCGTCACCTGGAATTTGATTTGAAAGTCAGTAGCATTGTGAGTTGGTGAGATAACTATGAAGTTAAAAATGTTGTCACCATGGACCAAGGGTTAATAAAGCAAAGACAGACGGGAAAAGACTTCAAAGGAACTTCTAAGTAGATTTGGCAGTGGGGTGCCTTGCCACAAAAGACCATGTTTAGGATTGAATGAAAAGAAGCATGTCACCGGAGGGAAATGTGGTCAGGCATGTTGAATGTATCAAAAGAATATAACTGATAAATAAAAGGAGGATGGAGAGGTTGTAAACTTTACAGCCTGAGCCGAGGAGGGAAGAGACCCCTGCAGTCTGTGATTATTTAACCACAAAGCCTACTCCAGTTTCTGTAGCAGGCTGCATCCTAATAACAAAATCACACAAACACACACTCATACACAGAGAGAACCTCATGCTCAATAACTGAGTCACTCAAACAATGTGAGTCAAGATTAGGCTGCCTTTGATCATAATGATGCCTGATCTACACAACTCTGTGAACTTCATTTCTGTGAAATTCTGTAAATGGCATTACATTTAGATTATAGCCCACAAATTACAGTGTCATTATTTAGTATATACACAGAAAAAATGTAAGTAGAGGGAAAAAGAGGTTAAAGAACAAGAGGGAAACAGCTTTGTGTTTAAGAGGGATTTTGAAATGAATTACCCTTAAAGTAATTTTTTTAATTATTGAGTACCTTTTTTGGTTAGCAACATTTCCACTTCAGCATTACCACATTACTTCAAGTAATGACAGCCAAGTCTTTTGCAATATTCAGACTTTTTCCCCCCCAAATTTCCTTTGTTTTGCCTAGATGGAAACACACTGACTGTACATCAATACTGGACCTGAATCGCTACGTTTTCTTCTAAACAAACATGGTATTCAGTGTTCTTACCGAAGTCATTGTGTGTATCCTGGAAGCCTGACAAACGCGTTGAATGCATTTCCTTCCTTACACAACATTTGCAAAGCCAGATTTTTTTTTAAATACTTTCAAAACTGCATGGTTTACTTCTATGTTCACATCATGCTTTGCTATGCTTTGTGGACATGTTACTGCCACCAACTGTCAATCAATGGAATAGCGGTAAACCACGAGTGGGAAACTCTTGTTGTGTGCATGTTCGTCCTCGTGCTAGTGGAGCATGGGATACAAACAAAATGGGGTCTTGCTCATCAAAACATTGCTCCATATAGCATCACTAGTGGTCAAAAACTCCATTGGGTACCTTTAAAGTTAGTTCTTAGTTTTCTAAATGAAACTTTGCAGATTCTGCCTCATTTACTCTGAGATCAGAGGGGAAAACCTAATTGGACAAAGTTGCTTCAAGGGAGGTTTTTTCCCCCTCTCTTCAGACTTTTCTGGCTAGACAAAAATGTCTACGCCAAATGTCCTGTAACAGGCAGTCATGGATTAATCTGTGTGTTGTGCCTTGACTTCGTTGGGCCTGACAGCCCTGGTAATGGAGCGTATGAATGGTCCAGATTCCACTACAGGTAGAAAACCCGAGGCCAGGAACCTTTCAGAAACTCAGATGATTACAAAAAAGGAGAACACTTCCACTGCTGGCTTAGTAAAATAAACAAATATGGCATTGTAACATCAGATGTAATGTGGGGTAGACTTGAGGGCACATCATTTTCTTTCTTCAAAGGCAAGAGAGAGACACACACAAGGTACAGGGTAGCAAAGATGAAGCAGTTTTCCATGTCAACAACAGGGCTATTCATCTTTCAGAAGGTGAGCAAATCTGTGGCCTGTGGTCGAATATTCAAGAAGAGGAGGAGTCGAGAGCTGTGTTAGAATTTGAGGAGTGTTAATCAGGGAGAGGATGTGGGCCTTCTGGCTTGTACCTGATTACCACCAAATGGGCCACCAGCAGCAGCAACAGCTGGGCCCTACAACAATGTGGGGGTAGGAGGAGGTAGAAGGTAAGCAATGGAAGACACCACGGAGAGCGTTAAAGGACAAAAAGAACAATTACACAAAAGGACTTTCCACAATATCTCAAACACAACCTCATACTTTACTTGTTGACACTAACCAGATGAATTCAGTCTGTTTCTCCAGTATCTCTATGACGTATTATGTGTGCCAGACAAAAAGGTTGATTGCTAATTGTGCTGATGGGAAAAGCTGACTATTTAACCTCCCTTTTGTGCTATTATCTGTGGTTGCCCCTCGCAGGTGCCCCATCATGTTTGTCAGTTCATTAATCCCAGCTGCAGCAGAAGAATGCTGTTTTTCTTCCCCTGGATGATTGGTCCTGACAGTCAGAGTGAGCCAGTGACTGTTAAGAGATAATCAAGGATTTCTTTTTTCTTCATTTGAGCTCAGCAAGTTGTTCACCTCTCCCTGCCAAGTTTAAGTGCATGACTCAACATTGTGACATCTCTGATGAATCATGTATCTCTGTCTCTCTGTCTCTGTCTCTCTCTCTCTCTCTCTCTCTCTCTCTCGCTCTCGCTCATCTTTTGTCTCTCTGGCTCTTGTCACTTTTTACTCCCTCTGCTTTTCAGATATGTTT